CATTAGACTACTTATCTAAAGGTCGGCAGTTCAAACCCCCTCAGAGGTGCCTTGGAAGTAAGGCCTGGTGATCTGCTCCCGAAAGGTCACAGCCTTGAAAACTTTATGGAGTGCAGTTCTACTTTGCACCTATGGGGTCACCATGAGTCAAAATTGACTCAGTGGCAACTAACAACAAGTAACACCACCACATCTCAGCAGCCAACCAGACCATACGGGGCCCATGAGCCACCCAAAAACTCAAGGAGGTCTTCTGGCAAACCAGGACACCAGTAAACGTACTATAGCTACTGCCAGGGACCTGAGAAGGCATCCAAATGGAGTCTCAGTCTGGTTCTACTCCCAGCATGTCCCTGCCAGTGCTACAACCAGCGGGGCCTTTAACTGGGGTCCATCAAGGTTATCAGGTCCCCAATCTCACAATTTTCAGAATCCAGTAATATCTTTCATGTGAGTCCAATCACTCTTCTATCACTCCCTGATGCTCCCAGGCCCTGCAGCCCATGCCCCACAACCTGCCAGTGTCCTAAATACTTTATCAAAGAGGAACTAGGCACCCCCTCCTACCTCAGCATCACTCCTGAACACATTGATACCTTCCCACAGGTGAACTGCAGGAGAGAGCTACTTCTCTTGGGGGAAGGGATCTGAAGAGTGTCTGCTTTGACGCTGACCCATCTCCAGTTCCCATTCAGACTGCCCTCCGGCTTGCTGGCCGGACCTGCCTTTGTCACCTGGTCAGTGGTCAGAGCGATCATATCTCAGAGTGTATTATATGCCCAGTACAGGGCACTTCAAATAAATGATGTGATTTAATTTTCACATTCCTCCGATGTAGATGCTAACATTACCTACATTTTACAAATGAGAAAACTGAGGCTCAGGCAGATTAAATGACTTACCCAAGTGACAGAGTTAAGATTCAAACTCAGATTTGTGTGGCTTTAAAGTGCTTGTTCTGACGTTTTTCATTGGTTATTTTCCCTTGCTTCCTCGGGCCCTCACACTAATTTAACTGAAGTTTGCCAACCTTATCCTCCTTTTCAGACCCCTCAAATACATTCACTCACGTTTCCAATCTCATGTCCTCCCTCAGATTTGGTGTTCTCTGGGCTCTGAGCCAGACCAGCTCCCCCAAGGCCTCCCTGCCAGGTAGTGGAGGCCCAACATAACAGACCAACCCCTTATTAGTGGACATATGTACCTAGAAGCTGGGTAACTATGAAACCATCATATGATAACAGCATAGAATAAATATCCCCCAAATGTAGACGACTACCACTTGTCTGTCAGTTTGTCATACTGTAGTGGCTTGAATATTGCTGTAATGCTAGAAGCTATGCCAACGGTATTTCAAATACCAGCAGGGTCACCCATGGTGGACAGGTTTCAACAGAGCTTCCAGACTAAGACAAACTAGGAAGAAAGACCTAGCAATTTACTTCTAAAAAAATTGGCCAGTGAAAGCCTTATGAACAGCAGTGAAACATTGTCTGACATAGTGCCAGAAGATGAACCCCTCAGGCTGAAATGCACTCAAAATACCACTGGGGAAGAGTTGCCTCCTCAAAGTAAGGTCGACTTTAATGACGTTAATGGAGTAAAGCTTTCAAGACCTTCATTAGCTGATGTGGCACTACTCAAAATGAGAAGAAACAGCTACAAACATCCATTAATAATTGGAATGTGGAATGGGCAAAGTATAAATCTAGGAAAATTTGAAGTTGTCAAAAATGAAATGGAATGCCAGAAGATCAGTATCCTAGGCATTAGTGAGCTGTAATGGACTGGTATTGGCCATTTTGAATTGGACAATCGTATGGTCTGCTATGCTGGGAATAACAGATTGAAGAGGAACAGTGTTGCATTCACTGTCAAAAAGAACATTTCAAGCTCTATCCTGAAGTCAGTGATACAATAATATCCATAAGCCTACAAACAAGACCAGTTAAAACAACTATTATTCAAATGTACACACCAACCACAAATGCCAAAGTTGAAGAAATTGAAGATCTTTACCAACTTCTGCAGTCGGGAATTGATCAAACATGTAATCAAGATGCATTGATAGTTACTGGTGATTAGAATGTGAAAGTTGGAAACAAAGAACAAAGATCTGTAGTTGGAAAATATGGGCTTGGTGATAGAAATGATGCCAAAGATCTCATCACAGAATTTTGCAAGACCGATAACTTATTCATTGCAATCTCTTTTTTCAACAATATAAATGACAACTATACACATGGGACTTGCCAGATGGAATACACAGGAATCAAATTGACTGCATCTGTGGAAAGAGACAATGGAGAAGCACAGTATCATCAGTCAGAACTGGGACAGGAGCAGATTGTGGAACAGACCATCAATTGCTCATATGCAAGTTCAAGTTGAAGCTGAAGAAAATTAAAACAAGTCCATAAGAGCCAAAGAACAACCTTGAGTATATCCCACCGGAATTTAGAAACCATCTCAAGAACAGTTTGATGCACTGAACATAAAAGACCAGATGAGTTGTGGGTAACATTAAGGACATCATACATGAAGAAAGCAAAGGTTATTAAAAAGACAGGAAAGAAATAAAAGACCAAAACAGATGAAACTTGCTCTTGGAAGGTAGATTAGCTAACGTGAAAGGAAGAAATGATGAAGTAAAAGAGCTGAACAGAAATTTTCGAAGGGCAGCTTGAGAAGACAAAGATTATAATGACATGTGCAAAGACCTAGAGTTAGAAAATCAAAAGGAAAGAACACATACAGCATTTCTCAAGCTGAAAGAACTGAAGAAAAAATTCAAGCATCGAGTTGCAATATTGAAGGATTCTATGGGCAAATATTGAATGACGCAGGAAGCATCAAAAGAGAATGGAAGGAGCACACAGAGAATTGGTCAATGTTCAACCATTTCAGGAGGTAGCATATGATCAAAAACCGATGGTATTGAAAGAAGAAGCCCAAGCTGCACTGAAGGCACTGGTGAAAAACAAGACTCCAGGAATTGATAGAAGACCAACTGTGATGTTCAACAACGGATACAACACTAAAAGTGTTCACTCATCTTTGCTAACAAATTTGGAAGACAGCTACCTGGCCAACCGACTGGAAGAGATCCAAATTTGTGCCCATTCCAAAGAAAGGTGATCCAACAGAATGCAGAAATTACTGAGCAATATCATTAATATCACATACAAGTAAAATTTTGCTGAAGATAATTCAAAAACAGTTGCAGCAGTACATCAACAGGGAACTGCCAGAAATTCAAGCTGGATTAAGAAGAGGACGTGGAACTAGAGATATCATTTCTAACGTCAAATGGAAATTGCATGAAAGCAGAAAATACCAAAAAGATGTTTACCTGTGTTTTATTGACTACGCAAAGGCGTTTGACTGTGTGGATCATAACAAATTAAAGATAACATTTTGAAGAATGAGAATTCCAGAACACTTAACTGTTCTCATGCAGAACCTCCATACATAGACCAAGAGGCAGTCATTTGAACAGAACAAAGGGATATTGCACGGTTTAAAATCAGAAAATCAGAAAGGTTTGAAATCAGCATCAGGGTTGTATCCTTTCACCATATTTATTCAATCTGTATGATGAGCAGATAACCTGAGAAGCCAGACTATATGAAAAATTAAAGAAGAATCAAAATTAGAGGAAGACTCATTAACAACCTGTGATATGCAGATGACACAACCTTGCTTGCTGAAAGTGAAGAGGACTTGAAGCACTTACTGAGGAAGATCAAAGAGTACAGCCTTCGGTATGGATTACACCTTAACATAAAGAAAACAAAAATCCTTACAACCGGACCCATAAGCAACATCATGGTAAACTAAGAAAAGATTGAAGTTGTCAAGGATTTCATTTTACTTGGATCCACAATTAACACCCATGGAAGTGACAGTCAAGAAATCAAATGACGTATTGCATTGGGCAGATCTGCTGCAAAAGACCTCCCTCTTTAAAGTGTTAAAAAACAAAGACACCACTTTGAGGATTAAGGTGCACCTGACCCAAGCCATAGTATTTTCAATTGGCTCATATGCATGCAAAAGCTAAACAATAAGGAAGACCAAAGAAGAATTGATGCCTTTGATTTATGGTGTTGTCAAAGAATATTGAATATACCATGAACTGGCAGAAGAATGAACAAATCTGTCTTGGAAGAAGTACAGCCAGAATGCTCCTTTGAAGAGAGGCTAGCGAGACAGTGTTTTACGTATTTGGACATGTTATCAGGACTGACCAGTCCCTGGAGAAGGACATCGTGCTTGGTAAAGTAGAGGACCAGGGAAAGAGAGGAGGACCCTTAACGAGATGGATTGACACGATGGGCTCAACGATGGGCTTAAGCACAGCAACAATCGTGAGGATGACACAGGACACAGCAGTGTTTCATTCTGTTGTACATAAGATTGCTATGGTTGGAACTGACTGGATGGCACCTAACAACAACAAATGTAGAAATAACCATTCCCTATATTTCACTGGGATATTCAACCTCATGCCTCCCCAAACGAGGGCTTTATAAACTAATTTACGTATTTTTCTGCAACTTATTCAAACTTGCACTCTTTGCTGCTAAAGTAACAGATGGTTGTGAGATTTAACTGAATCTATGAATATATACAAGTAGCCCTGGTTGCACAGTGGTTAAGCATTTGGCTGCTAACTGAAAGGTCGGTTTTTCGAACCCACCAGCCGCTCCTTGGGAGAAAAATGTGGCAGTCTGCTTCTGTAAAAATTTATAGCCTTGGAAACCCTATGGGGCAGTCCTACTATGTCCTATAGGGTCTCTGTGAATCAGCATTGACTTGACTGCAATGGGTTTGTTTTTTTTTTGGTATGGATATATACTGTTATTAATGTTTTAATTCTCAAATGTTTTATAAGAGCAAAAATTATATATTTGTTGACTTATATCAGCTTTGGAATATTGCTGTCAAATAGTGTTTATTATTGAGGTGTGTGTTTCTTTCTTTATTTTTTTCTGCAGAAATGAAAACAAAACTAGGGGAGCAGGGTCCTCTGATCCTTGGTGTCCAGAGAGTCTACATTCAGACGAGGGAAGAGAAACGAGTTAACCTGACCATTGGTGGCAGAGCCTATTTGCTGCCCAACACATCAGTGATTATTAAATGCCCAGTGCGACGATTCCAGAAATCTATGATCCAGTGGGAGAAGGATGGCCATTGTCTGCAGAACTCTAAGCGATTGGGCATCACCAAGTCGGGCTCACTCAAAATCCACAGTCTTGCAGCCCCCGACATTGGTGTGTACCGGTGCATTGCAGGCACTGCCCAGGAAACAGGTGTTCTCAAGCTTATTGGTACTGATAACAGACTCATCGCACCCCCAGCCCTCCGAGAGCACAGAAGGGGGTATCCTGGGATAGACCACAACCAAGATAATAGTTTGGGAGCCATGTGGCATAAAATGCGGCAAATGTGGAGTAACAAAAAAGAGCTTTATCTGGATGATGGCGAAATTAATAACCAGCCTTTACTGAGAGCTCTGTTGGGCCACTGCAGCAATTCTGCAGGAAATACTAACTCCTGGGAGTTGAAGAATAAGCAGTTTGAAGCAGCAGTTAAACAGGGAGCATATAGCATGGATACAGCCCAGTTTGAAGAGCTAATAAGAAACATGAGTCAGCTCATGGAAACTGGAGAGGTCAGCGATGACCTTGCATCCCAAGTGATATACCAGCTTGTGGCAGAGTTAGCTAAGGCACAGCCTGCTCACATGCAATGGAGGGGAATCCAGGAAGAGGTGCCTCCCGCAGCTCAGCTGAGGGGGGACACAGGAAGTGTACCCCAAAACTCGAATGCAAAGAACTCAGGCAAGCTGACATTCAAGCCAAAGGCACCTGTTCTTGTGAGGCAAAGCCAGCCCTCCGCAATTTCATTTAACAAAACAATAAATTCAAGGATTGGAAATACAGTATACATTACAAAAAGGACCGAGGTCATCAATATACTGTGTGATCTCGTAACTCCCAGTGAGGCCACGTATACATGGACCAAGGATGGAACGTTGTTACAACTATCAGCAAAGTAAGTAAAATAAGAAATTAAAAAAAAAAGAAAGTAATACCTTCTTAACGACTATTCCAGTTTTCTTGAAAATATTTTCAAATTCCTTCTTTCAGAATATGTTTCCAACAGGATTCTTTAGGAAAGATACTGTAAAATGTTAGTATGTGTTTTTCACATATGGGTTGGAATTTTATAAAGTAAACCAGCATATTATTCTAGTTACTATCATATAGGTATGGTACAAGACTGGATACAGTAAGAATAAGTGTGTATAGATTTTCCCTTTGCAGGGCACTTAACATTCAGAAATAAAATCAGTACGATACCATTAAAAACAGAAAGCCTATTAGTAGTAATCCTACATCATGTATGAGCTGCAAATCAGAGTTTACAGAGCTTTTCCTAGACTCTCAAATGAGATGCGCTATCTCATCAGAACCTCACTTCAGCCCTTTGAGTTTGGAAGGGCAGGGATTAACAGCTTTCTAATGAGATCATTGAGCAAACAGAATCACGTGGCTAACTCACAGCCAGTCAGAAGCAGGGGCCATATCTCTTGACCACCACCAGTGATGTTTCAATATCACACAAATAGTAGCCTTAGTAGAAAGATTGCATATCTGAAGGAATATTCCAGATCATGCAACATTTTTATAAGTCATAAAATCCAAAAATAAGGTGATAAACATCAAAGTTTTTTGAGATGTACGGAACACAAGATTAAGTCATGCATTATTTTATTGTGATCCCTATCTATGTCAGCGCAAACATATCACATTTCGTGAGTTTTACATGAAATAACCAAAGAATAAAACCAAAATACCAAACCCATTGCCATCAAATCGATTCTGACTCATAGCAACCCTATAGGACAGAGTAGGACTGCCCCATAGGGTTTCCAAGGAGCTGCTGGTGGATTTAACTGCTGACCTCTTGGTTAGCAGCCAAGTTCGAAACTACGGTGCCACCAGGGCTTATTAATTCATTTTTGTATTCTTTGCTGTCTCCAAATCTTGCTATTTGTACACAAAGTGTGGTAGACATTTTGATTTGTTTTTATTTGTATTGAAATGCTCAAGCTGCATCTTCTCTGCTACTAGGGATTATTAAGAAACACAAACAAAACAGCAGATGTGAAATTGTTTTGCAAATCATAAGGTACTTTAAAAAAAAGTGAAAGTTTTATTTTTGTCATACTCTTTGTGCATTGAACCTAAAATATGAGGTATCAGAGGAAAAGCTAGGTAAATTTTATTATTTTTTTTACAATAGATTATCAGGCCTATAGTTTAGAAAGAAAAGGTAGAACAAATCTAATTACTGGATTCCTTTATCCTGGAACTGTGAACACAAGAGTGCAATGAAGGTTAAGAAGGTGGGATGAACTTTAAAGATCACTTAGCTTAGCTGTTCTTAAACCTTTTGCTCTTGTTGTTAGATGCCATCGAGTCGATTTCGACTCTTAGGGATCCTATGTAACAGAGTAGAGCTGCCCCATTTAGTTTTCTAGGCTGTATTCTTTACGGGAGCAGACCACCAAGTCTTTCTCCTGTGGAGCTGCTGGATAGATTCAAACCACTAGCCTTTCAGTTAGCAGCCGAGTGCTTAACCGTTGTGCCACCAGCACTCCTTCCGAAACCAAACCAAACCCATTGCCGTCAAGTCGATTCCAACTCATAGCGACCCTACAGGACAGAGTAGAACTGCCCCATAGAGTTTCCAAGGCTGTAATCTTTACAGAAGCTGACTACCACATCTTTCTCCTGCAGAATGGCTCGTGGGTTCGAACCACCGACCTTTAGGGTTAGCAGCCAAGCACTTTAACCACTGTGCCACCAGGGCTCCCTTAGGGCTCCTTAGGGTACCTTTAATTTGTAAAATATTATTGAGGAGCCCAAAGAGCTTTTGTTTACATGAGTTATATCTATCAATACTTACCATATTAGAAATTAAAACCAAGAAAAATTTTAAATATTTATTAATCCATTTAGAAATAATAATAATAAGTCCATTACATGTTACAATAATTAACATCTTTTTTGAAAAATAATATTTTCATAACAAAAAATTACTGAGAAAAGTGACATTGTTTTACATTTCTGCAAATCTCTTTAATGTGTGGCTTAATTAAAGACAGATGGATTCTTGTATATGCTTCTGCATTCGATCTTTTGAAATATGTTGTTTTACATGAAGCATATGATGAAAATTTGGCCTCATACAGATATGTTAGTTGAAAAAATAAAGAATATCTTAATAGTCTTTTCAGATAATTGTGGATATTCTTCTCTGATATTACACTAGAACTTGAAAAGTGGTAGTTTCTTAAAGGTGAGCATCACTGTGGAACCTGAGACCATATCAATGAAATTTGGGTTCTCTGTTACAGTAACAGCCATTGGCCTTTCTTGCACTTTGAATAGCTCTTTCTCCCATGCGTGATTTTGTAACATAATACATTGGTCATTTGGAAAATATTGGCTCACTGAATTATGCAGATCTTCTAAACGTTAACACATTTCATTATACAATATATAAAAAGAATACATATTCTTTAATATCACCACCCACCTCATCAGAAAAGTCTTTATGTTTTGGGACACACAACTCAGATCGCAATGGCTGATATAAGTTCCAAAGTTCTAAATTAGACTTGAGAGCTCAAATTTTACATTGGTAGCAAATACTGTCATTTTTTTTTTCCCTTTAAATTAGCCAGCTTATTTTGGTAATTTATGGAAAAAAATCTGCCAAATACCTAACTCTGAATAGTCATAGTTTTGTCAGTCATTCCTGTAGGTTAAATTAGTCTTCCATGACAAGAGCAGCCAATTTAGCTAGCAACAAAAACAATCACGTCAATGTACTTTGGCATACAGAAGAAGTGTTTTTTGTATACTTTCCATTTTGTAAGAATGTTGAAAACTGTGTACTCAAGAGGCAGGGCCAAGGTGGCGGAGTAGTCAGGCACTTCTGGTGGTCCCTCTTACAGATAAGACCCAAAAAAAACAAGTGAATTGATTATATATGTCAATCTAGGAGCCCTGAACATCAAAAGAAAAGTTGAGGAATTGGACTGAGTGGCAGGGGAGGGAGAGATGGTTCAGAAGTAGCAAGGAGTTGCCAGACCTGACCTGGCAGGAGCTGGCACCCTGCGGGCCAGATCAGCTGGCATGAGTGGTGAGGCGGGCAGTGGCATTTGGGATGCATTTTCCACATCGAGAGAGACCAAGTGGCGGAGAGTCTGCTTAGGCTTCCAGAGCCAGTGAAAAACAGCGCTCAATCAGCAAAAGACAAGTACATGCGTTTAATGTACCATGCGGATCAAAAAACACCCCCTTTGGGAAGATCCTCTCTCCCATTTACCTGCTCCCTCTCTGCTCTGCACTGGGTCCCAGGCTGGCTTCAGCAATTGCCTCATCCCCTGGGCCACAAGTAGAACCCATCAGGCACCTTAAGCCATTCTTCTGGCCTTGGAAACAGAACAAATTAACAAAAAGGAAAAAATAATCTGCCAGCTCCCCTAAGCTGGGAAATCAGGGCAGGCACAGCTCCCTTGTCTAGGGACAGGCATAAGGGGTCCACAGACTTCGAAAGCCTTTCACCCCTGCATAGACCTGTGTGGGCCTATTTTAACAGCATAGGCCCTCATTACCACAGTACAACAGGGTATATACCTGAAGCCTAAATTCACTGTATCACCTATATGGTGGAGTGGCAGGTTTCTGACATTTGATACCTTTCTGCCCATTAAGCAGGGTCCTCACCTACCCACATCAGGGGTCTGAGGACTGGTGGCTCCACCCATGCCACCTAGCCACCTGCGACAGGGGTCCAAGAATAAGTGATGCCTCCTAGGCCTTACAGCCAACAGCATTGAGTGCCCATACTCCAGCTGCAAAACTTACTCACCTATGCACTGTAGGGAACAGGGACACACTTTCCTCCCAGACATTGACGGGCAGCTGTCAGCCCCCCATCTTCCTCAGTGTGTGATCCCTACTGCAGCCAGATACCTGTGCCTACTCCAATCACCCCTGCCCATCTAGTACTGTAGGTGAGAGCCTGCATCACACACTTGGTGACCAACTATCTGGACACCTGAGCTGAATCCATGCAAGAAAAGTAAACGGACTCCTGGGCCCACATACTTAGTAACAGATCTAACCACCTGGTGACAGGATGTTAGAGCTTCAAAGGTGTCAAAAATCAAACTAGCTCACATGAGCAGCCTATTTGGGCATATCAAAACAAAACAAAACAAGAAGCTAGGATACAGTAAGCAAACATAAAATAAATATAATAACTTACTGATGGCTCAGAGACAACAGTCAATATCAAATCACAGAAAGAGGCAGACCATGATGGCTTCAGAAAGCTCCCAAAACAAAGAATCGAGAAATTTTCCAGAGAAAGATAACTTCTTGGAATTACCAGAGGTAGAATACAAAAGATGAATATACAGAACTCTTCAAGATACCAGGAAGGAGATCCGTCAAAATGCAGAACAAGCCAAGGAACAGATAGACAAAGCAATAGAGGAACTTAAGAAGATTATAGAAGAGCACAATGACAAACTTAACAGGCTGCAAGAATCCATAGAGAGACAGCAAACAGAAATCCAAAAGATTAACAATAAAATTTCAGAATTAGAAAACTCAGTAGAAAGTTAGAGTAGCAGAATTGAGGCAATGGAAGTTAGAATTAGTGAGACTAAAGATAAAACACTTAACATCAACTTATTTGAGGAAAAATCAGATAAAAGATTTTAAAAAATGGAGAAACCCTAAGAATGATGTGGGACTCTATCAAGAGGAATAACCTATGAGTGATTAGAGTACCAGAACAGGGGAGGATAACAGAAAATACAGAGAATTGTTGAAGATTTCTTGGTAGAAAACTTCCCTGATGTCATGAAAGATGAGAAGATATCCATCCAAGATGCTCATTGAACCCCACATAAGGTAGATCCCAAAAGAAAGTCACCAAGAGATCTTATAATCAAACTTGCCAAAACC